TACTGAAAATAAATGTAGCAGTCAAAAAACTAAAATGAAAAAAACAAAATAACACAATCTCTTTCTTCAGGTGGACTATGACGTACATCATTTTCAGTATCATTTTTTTTTACACCAGTCATTACACACAGAGGAATACAATATCTTGGAAATTGGGAAAAAAGGGAAAATAAAGATTGAAAGAATTGTTCCTCTTTTTTGTTAACATCATTATCGTGCATACTAGTCATTGTACATGAGGTCTTATAGAAGATTGATGAAGGAAAACAAACATAAAAAGAAAACAAACTTCTCGCTTTTTATGTTCTCTGCAACTTCTTAAACTCATCAGTTGTCAATCATCGTGTTCATCAGACTGAAGGATGCCAGTAAAAATCATGGTGCAGTCAACTTTATCATTTAAAAAAAAATTGTTGATCTGTTTTGTATTTCTGCCCTGGCGTCTTCGGGTTTTCTCCCTACATTTGGATATGAGAAATCCTCCCATTTTTAAAAGTTGTTTTGTTTAAGAGATGTTTGTCAGGACTGTACGTTGTTCATTTAATGTTGAAGGCTTTATTCGCAAAGAATAATCAATGCACTCTTTTACACTCTCAATGTTCTTTCTATTTTCGCTGCAGTTATTGTCCTTACTGTATAAAAAGGGGCATATTTCCAAGAAGCTAGTGGCTGTGTGAAATATTATTCCCTTACCCATATCCACTGTGATCAGCATTATTTTATTTTTTGTAGGCAGACCATTCAGGCCAGCCAGCCCCCCCTGGAGGTGTAGACAGTGTGGTGTGGACCTCTGGCTTGTATCTGACATAAACTGCTTTGATGAATAGCACAACTAACCTTGTTGATATTATAATGCCATTACTTTTTATGTAAACACATATTGATTTTGGTGATTTTAAATATTAAATGTTTTCCCTATGGTCACCAAGATTTGAAATACATGTTTTGATAGCATTTTACAAAAAAAGCCCACGCAAGCCTAATCTAGGAAAAAGGGGGGGGTTTGACCTTAGAGGGATTGGAGGGTTAATGTTGAAGGCTTCCTTCAAGCCTTTCAGTGCTTGTTCCTTTGTAATTTTCCTCCATGCTACTGGAACATCAGCTGGCTTGGCGTTGTATTCTTGGGCAAATCTCTCATTGTATTTAACGAGGACATACTTCCAGTAGTCAGATGCCTCCCTGGTGTAGTCTGGAGGAATGAGCCAGTCTGGGTAGATTGTGGTGTACCTCTTGTAAGGATGCCACTCTCCATTAGTGGCTGCACATTGGAATTGACGCTCACTGTGAACATCAGTTGTGCACAGTGTTTCCATCAGCTTCTCAGTGTCTATAATGCTGTATCCACCCAGACCTTGTGGCCGATGAACAGCTGCATGGTGTTTGATATGTTTTTTACCTCCGGCTTCACAAGGAACTTTACAAAATGGACATTGATGTCCACAACCAAACACCCGATTGAAAAGCTCATCCTGTGGTTTGGTAGGAAGTTTGTTCACAGTCTCAGCGATGTCTTCAGATTTTGAGAACTCCTCCTGCAGCTGTTCATTCATTTCACTCAATGATTTGACAAGGCTCTCTTTAAATGGATGGCATGTGCTTTGGATTTGAAACAGGGTGGTTTTTTCAGCCTCTTCTGAAATCGAGATATCTTTGGTCAAATATCTGCGCATGTTTTTGATGAGCTTTGTGATGCTTTCATTGTTATCTGGCAGCAGGACACCATCCCATCCTTTTGAAGCCCTTTCAGTTGCATCAGTCAATTTTTTAACTATGACTTGCAGATTCTGACTTTTCAGTTTGCATAAAGCTTTATCCTTTGACATTTCTTCCAAGATGTGCTGAAATATCAAGTGCTTCACGTACATTTCATATTTACAAATGAACTTGACAAAACTCTGAAAGTCTTCCTTTTGCAGCAACTCTTCCTGAATGTTGTACTGGAAAACGTTTCGGGAACTGTACTCTGCTGAATGGCGGCCTGCCAAAACTTCATCCACAATGTTGGTTCCCAGATGTCTACTGATGTACTCTTCCACAGCAGGTTTGATACAAAGTCTGACAAAATCATCTGCTTTACGTTGGCAATGATCTTTCTTTTTGTATAGATCGATAAAATCCAACAAGTACTGAGGCCTGTACTTCTCCAGCTGCATTTTGGGATCCCTTCCCGACAAGAAATGTCTGTGCATTTGAAGGAACTCTCTTGAGGCAATACCACAAATGTGAAGTTTCAGGTCAATCTCAAACTTTGGCTGGAAAGTGTTTCCTTTAAGAGAATCATCTACTTTTTCCAAAAGATCCTTTGTAAAAGAGTCATGGTAGTCTGTGTCGGTATTTGCCTTACCAAATACAAACAGTTTGCAAGACTCAATGGCAGTGTCTGCAAAACTCTGCAAATCTTTATGTAAAGCTTCTTTTTGCCAGAATTTTATACCTTTCCAAGGTACTTTTACATGTTCAGATTTGACCTCAAATGGGCCCTTGGCTATGTCCTTCAGGTCTGTAATGTTCTGTAATTCCTCATTGAAGTTACGATTTGAGAAATGTATCCTCAACTGTTTAAGGACTTTTTCAGATATGTTTAGTTCTTTCAGTCCAGACACATTTGCTGTGACTTTTGTCCACATCTGTTGAAAGTCACGTTTCAACTGTTCATCAGAAAGTGTGCGGTGTTCGCGATCACTCAAGAGTTTCATTACTTCTTTTTCTATCATTTCTCTGTGTTTGCTTTGAATGTCCTGAGCCTCTTTTGAACTTTTTTTTTCTTCAAGCGCACAATCCAATGCGTTGTTTACTGAATGTTGGAATTGGTCTTTAAGACCTCTGATACGGTTGATAAAGTCGGTTTTGTATTTCTCTATCAGACTCACATGTATGTCTTTCCTTCTGTAGTATTCATCAAGTTTCTCGTCCATTTCTTTTTGACCGCCTTCTATTTTGGCGATCAACTGTGATTTTTTTGAGGCAACCATTGTTTTCCAAGTGTTCACATGTGTTTTGTTGTCAGAATTTAAGATCTGTAACTTTGCCCCATCCTGCCAACAGATCAAGTCTTTTTTGAATTTCCATTCCCATTGATTGAACTTCTTGCAAAGGTTGTCATAAGCATGAGCCACTAGAGTGTTTCTGCTGATGTGGTAATATCACTGCTATGATATTCATATTTTACTCCGGCTGGTAATATCACTGCTGTGACGTTAATGTTTGACTCTGGCTGTGTTTGATATTACATTTGCATTGTTTTGATTGGTATAACTGGGGACCAAAATTGGGGGTTAGGGATTGTGGGTCCTGAAGCTGCCCTAATTACCAAGGGTTCTCCCAATAACAGAGGGATTCTCCTCCAGGGGCAGTTTAAATACTGCTCTGGGGTTCTACCAGCCCACCAACACCTACTACACCACACACTCCGTTTTGCTATCCTGGCGGTCGGACATCCGAGGCTGGAGTGTCTAAAATAGGGATACGACGGGCATTTTGGTGTTAGAGGCCACGCTGTAAACGCTCCCCTAAGCAGATTACTGCTTAGTCCTAAAAAGATTGGACGGCTGTTCACCGGAGCCTTATCAGCACCAGAGTTCGGTATCGGAGCCGGCCTAGATATTAACATGGTTGTATCGAAGTTAGATTCCTTTTCACTTTTATCTGATATTTGACTTCAAGATTATTTCAATATGATTATTTTATCTTATTATTGCATCTTTTAACTACAACTTCTGATGTAACTATAAATATCTTTATTTTATTGTTGTTATTGCACATTTTAACTTATGTCATTATCTGTATTTGTTTATTTTAACTGCACATTTTGAATTTAACTTCTTATAATATACTTTTTTAATTGCACCTTTTTACTTTACTTTTGTTTATATCAATATTTGTATTCTATTTTATTGCACATGCTTACTTTCTTATGTTTAAATAGTTAACCTAATTGTATTTTAAATTATCAATATATCTCACTTATGTTTGTATCAATATTATTTATTATCTTTTTATTGTACATTCCTACTTTAACTCCTATGTTTGTATCAATATTATTATATATATATTACAATTTTCTTTTCTTTTATTGGACATTTTACTTCAACTTCTTATGTTTGCATAATTACATTTTAAATCTCGACTCTCGTGAACTGTCAACAGGAGGGCGGGGGGAGCCTCGCTGCGGAGAAACTGTGGACCTCTGTCGCCTATCAGCGTAACTTAAATGATGCCGTTAAAAAAAAATAAAGGGCGGTGCCGGCCGGCTCAGTTCGCTGACGGCCGGCACCGCCCTTTTTTTAATTTGTATGACGACCGGCCGTTCTGTGATTCTCCAGAACACACAGATGGCCAGTCCGCCCCTGGCTGATTCTGACCCCACTTTAAAAAAAGAGAATAACATGTGCATTGTCTAAAAAATAAACATAAGCTCTTACAGAAACTTAAATGACTCAAAAAGGCACCAATAAGTAGGTTCAATACACAGGGTTCAAGTTATAAACTGAGCTCTATGGGGGTCTTTAAAACTAACGCGTGCGCCTTGCGCACGCACACACGCACGCACACACACACACACGCAGCAGCAGCCCTCTACTTGCTACAAACCTAAATATGAAAAGGTTCAACTACGCACAAACACATCATCTCGGCTCACACAACACGCTCACAGGCATATATTGCGCAATAATGTATTGCGCACCTTTGAGGTGCAGGCATATTGTCATTCAAGAGATGCGTAGTTCTTTTGGAAAACATGTTTTTCTTTTAGCCTATTTGCCTCATTAACGTAAATAATACTCATTACATTGACACATGCATTATTTGTGATTAAAATAATGGTTGTTGGTAATGTATTAGCGACCCCCACAGATATATGATTTCACTGCGTCTTTTGGAGCTCAGACCCCTCCTTATGGGAGCTCAGCTCCCATTGGCTCCCACATAACTCAAACCCTTTTGAGCCCTCATGTCCCCACTGCTTTTCAACACCTTGTAATGATGGGATTCTACCTGCCCTGGTCCTTCTCTGTTCATCGTAGACGTTTCACTTTCAAACCTAAGAAAAAACACAAATATTAACTTTACATTCACGGAACCAAATAGTGTATTCATGCAGATAACCAAAACAATAAAAAACATGAAACATGAGGTATTCCTCGCTACGTGCCATTTCAGTGTCACGCTCTTCATTAACTAAGTATAGTTGCAGTATATCTAAAGTACAGAACAAGTTAAATGTTTCCAGCAGGAGAGTAACGGAAATTTACCGGGCTTCATGCTGCAGCAGACTGAGGCTCTCTTTGTCCTCTGCTGTATTTGTACTGCACAGAAGTGAAACTGAAAGTAACGGGCCGTCTCCACGGCAGCGTTAAAAAATCTTGAAACGCTTCTGCCCATTCACTTTGAATGGGGTGACGTCACTTTTTTTCGCTTTCGCCGAAATGCATTGTGGGCAGGCGAGCGGAGATTCTCAGGATTTTCAAGATCCAAAGTTGAACAATGTTCAACTTTTGAAGCTGAGGAGGTAGCGTCATCCAATCAAATCCCGTGTACGCAAATCTGACAGTTCAAGCTCTAGCCAATCAAACGGCGTGTATGCTGGGAGAGACATACCGCAGATCATTTCCTCATATTCCAAAAAATGGAGGAGAAATTAGCGGTAGCGAATCAATCACCCGGTGCTTTATGACCAGACCTACCGGGATATAAACCGGAGGAGCCAGGCATGGAGGGAGGTGGCAGAGACAGTGGTATGTTTTCGCCTGTTTTGGGGAGTTTATATCCAGTTTACTTTGGGCTTTTTGGCTTCGTATGTCGCGGGCGGGAGATTCATGTGATTGGTTGATCGCAAAAAAATCCCCAAGCTTCAGATACGCCCACCTCCAAGATTTTTTTAACGCTGCCGTGGAGACGGCCCGTAAGTGCTGCACGCGCCCATGCTGTGGAGACCCACGTGCACCAGCCCGCCTTCTCATAATCAGTCCACTTCCCAGAAGTCACGCCGGACACACACACACACACACACACACACACACACACACATACACACACACACACACACACACACACACGCACACACGCACACACACACACACACACACATACACACACATACACACACACACACACACACACACACACACACACACTTTGTGCTATATGCGATTATAGGCAAGGCAAGGCAAGTTTATTTATAGAGCACCTTTCCGCACAAGGCAACCAGCAGCGCCGGATTCATTTCAGAAGTGGGGGGGGCAAAAAGTGTGTGTGTATTACTATTGGAACAGTCTACATCTAATAAAAGGAGAATATGTTTGAGCAGTGGGAGGTGTTTACTGAGACATTTATCAAAGAAATTGTAATTTATTTGGAGGATTTCATGTCCTTTCACAACAAACAAGTTTCGATTTTGTGAGAAAACATCTTCATTGTAGACGCTTCACGGCTGAAAAAGACTAGCAGAGGATGGTTTCAATCCATCGACCTCTGGGTTATGGGCCCAGCACGCTTCCGCTGCGCCACTCTGCTCCGACATGCTGTAGATGCATTGTTGTTATTTATATAAAACATACGCGTCAGCAATTGTTACGTAGGGGGTTACCTTGTATTTATAACTGAGCAAAATGGGTTAAAAATGTTGCTTGTTGGAAGTATATTGCCGCCATAATCCGCGGGCATTTAAACTCAAACTTAACTTAGCACGCCCCCTAACCATGACGTGCAGTGCTACCTAGTTTGGCTGTCCAAATGTGCAGGTCAGTGGAATGACAAGGACTCTGCGTAAACCGTTACTAGCAAGACCAGTCATTCTCAGATCCCGTTCTTTTTAGATGCGACTTTATGGCGCTTTTCCACTGCAGGACCTAGCCCGGCTTAGTACGGTATGGTTAGGCCTTGTTAGGCCAGGCTCACTTCATGCTGCATTTCCATTACAGTTTAGTTACAGGGGTAGTTACTATAGTAGCGCAGTGTAGGCGGGGCGATCGGCTGTTCGGCGGGCGGAGCGACGCTGCGTAAAACTGCCTTGACGTCATCTTCAATTCAAAACATCAGCCGTTAGCTGTTAGCACTCAGAGCTCACAGCTCCTCATATCTGTTCAGAAACTAGTCAAAAGTTAAACAAGTACAAGCCACAGACTGTCTGTGTCATGGCGAATACAGTCGGTGGTTTATTTATGTCTGTAGGCCGTTGTTGTGAGTGTGGACGGAGTATATACAACGTTAGCTTAGCCTGATCAATCCGATCTCCATTCAGAAAACACGCATTTTAAAAGGTTTTTCGCCTGCCGTCTTGTCTGCAGACCTGTATCAGTATGTTGTTACTTCGGCATCATTTTGAAACGTGTATTACAATTAAATCACGGTAAAATATGTTAATTTTGTAGCCCCCTTGCCAGCTATTCTCTCTGACCATTCAGCAGTCGAGAGTGTTTACGTCACTAGTTTAGCTTATTCAGCCCGGTAAGAACCTCGATTTTGGAGGGCCAGAAAAAAGGTGAAAAAGTATCTCTGAGCCGGAACTATCCCGAGTGGAAAGGCAAAAGAAAACGGGCCGGGTTTGGCACAGTGCGCTTAAACCATGCTACGTGCTGCAGTGGAAAAGCGCCTTTAGAGTAGAGGGGAATTATTGAAACGGGATGTAGTGTTCCGCGGCATCCGCTGCTGCGAAAATGTGAGGCAGGGCTGTAAAGTGGGGGGGCCAATGGCCCCTTGACCCCCTACTTCCGGCGCCAATGACGGCAACCCAAAGTGCTTTACAAAATAAGATAAAATACATTTAAGAACAAATACAGAGGAATCACATTATAAAAAGGCATTTAAAAACAGGCATTTAAAAAGCAAAGATAATAAAATCAACACAACAGGTATAAAATACATATAAAAAGCCATACTGCATTTCACTAAAGTTAACTACACAGAACCTACACAGCAAATGTGCCAGTGTTATATTTTCAGTGTTAGTGTTAATCAGCAGGGTTCAGTGTTATTTTAAAACTTAATTTAGTCAAGCTATCACTCAGAGAGTTTTTTCCTGAAAGTGTTGGTGTCAATTTTGGTCGTTGCGAGGACTCTCACACCCCGAGTGTTGAATTGACCACACCCCTCAATTTCCGGCAAAGGAGCACCATCCAAGACCTTCGACAGCCAGTTTTCTAACTGAAGCGGTAAATTTCACTCGATTAAAATTAATGTTTTGCGGTTGATGTAAGCATGAATCATGTCTGTAAATTGTAATTATTTTACTTAATATGTATATCTTGTATCTGTAACTTTTTAATCCAATTTGAAATAGTTTTTATGTCGAATTTGACCATTGCAACTATACTGATGTGTAAACTTGAATTACAGGTAGAGTAGACCTACATGCGACACGAACTGGAGGCGCATTAGGGGACAGAGAGGACAGAGGTGAGTTGTTTTTACAATATGCGAAAAGGAGAAGTTAAATACATGGTATCTTGAAACTGGTATCTTGTTAAAATGTAAGGTTGTGGATTATGGCGTATGAGTCGACGTTGACGGTAGCATTATTAGCTTGCAATTAGCAACCACCCGACCGCAACCTCCTACTGAAGCAGAGAACGAACGTGCTGGGACACACACACACACACACACACACACACACACACACACACTTTGTGCTATATGCGATTATAGGCAAGGCAAGGCAAGTTTATTTATAGAGCACCTTTCCGCACAAGGCAACCAGCAGCGCCGGATTCATTTCAGAAGTGGGGGGGGGCAAAAAGTGTGTGTGTATTACTATTGGAACAGTCTACATCTAATAAAAGGAGAATATGTTTGAGCAGTGGGAGGTGTTTACTGAGACATTTATCAAAGAAATTGTAATTTATTTGGAGGATTTCATGTCCTTTCACAACAAACAAGTTTCGATTTTGTGAGAAAACATCTTCATTGTAGACGCTTCACGGCTGAAAAAGACTAGCAGAGGATGGTTTCAATCCATCGACCTCTGGGTTATGGGCCCAGCACGCTTCCGCTGCGCCACTCTGCTCCGACATGCTGTAGATGCATTGTTGTTATTTATATAAAACATACGCGTCAGCAATTGTTACGTAGGGGGTTACCTTGTATTTATAACTGAGCAAAATGGGTTAAAAATGTTGCTTGTTGGAAGTATATTGCCGCCATAATCCGCGGGCATTTAAACTCAAACTTAACTTAGCACGCCCCCTAACCATGACGTGCAGTGCTACCTAGTTTGGCTGTCCAAATGTGCAGGTCAGTGGAATGACAAGGACTCTGCGTAAACCGTTACTAGCAAGACCAGTCATTCTCAGATCCCGTTCTTTTTAGATGCGACTTTATGGCGCTTTTCCACTGCAGGACCTAGCCCGGCTTAGTACGGTGTGGTTAGGCCTTGTTAGGCCAGGCTCACTTCATGCTGCATTTCCATTACAGTTTAGTTACAGGGGTAGTTACTATAGTAGCGCAGTGTAGGCGGGGCGATCGGCTGTTCGGCGGGCGGAGCGACGCTGCGTAAAACTGCCTTGACGTCATCTTCAATTCAAAACATCAGCCGTTAGCTGTTAGCACTCAGAGCTCACAGCTCCTCATATCTGTTCAGAAACTAGTCAAAAGTTAAACAAGTACAAGCCACAGACTGTCTGTGTCATGGCGAATACAGTCGGTGGTTTATTTATGTCTGTAGGCCGTTGTTGTGAGTGTGGACGGAGTATATACAACGTTAGCTTAGCCTGATCAATCCGATCTCCATTCAGAAAACACGCATTTTAAAAGGTTTTTCGCCTGCCGTCTTGTCTGCAGACCTGTATCAGTATGTTGTTACTTCGGCATCATTTTGAAACGTGTATTACAATTAAATCACGGTAAAATATGTTAATTTTGTAGCCCCCTTGCCAGCTATTCTCTCTGACCATTCAGCAGTCGAGAGTGTTTACGTCACTAGTTTAGCTTATTCAGCCCGGTAAGAACCTCGATTTTGGAGGGCCAGAAAAAAGGTGAAAAAGTATCCCTGAGCCGGAACTATCCCGAGTGGAAAGGCAAAAGAAAACGGGCCGGGTTTGGCACAATGCGCTTAAACCATGCTACGTGCTGCAGTGGAAAAGCGCCTTTAGAGTAGAGGGGAATTATTGAAACGGGATGTATTGTTCCGCAGCATCCGCTGCTGCGAAAATGTGGGGCAGGGCTGTAAAGTGGGGGGGCCAATGGCCCCTTGGCCCCCCTACTTCCGGCGCCAATGACGGCAACCCAAAGTGCTTTACAAAATAAGATAAAATACATTTAAGAACAAATACAGAGGAATCACATTATAAA